GTTTGCAAAAACGTGACCCAATGAATTAGTGGACTCTTTTAGGCCCAAAAGTAGGCCTCTTTCATTTAACGGTAGCCCAAATTGAAAAACAGGCAACGTAATCCTCTGACTTGGCGCCTTCTGGTTGGACTAAATTTGTTGTCACCTTTTAAACTCCACTCGCCACCTCAGCAGTACAAATTTGAAAATCACATTAAATATTGCCCTACAAATAATCACTAAAACCAATTATGGAGGGTTGTATCAAGTGGTAAGCGGCTTTATTCCAACTTAAGTAAGGTCTCGAGTTGAGAGTGAAGTGGAAACTTCCTCACCATTTCCAAGTGCACGACGCGGGTCGGGTCCGTATTAGTCGGGTGAAATCCCGGATACCAGACGGAAACAAAAAAAAACAATCGCTAAAACGACACCCTAGCACCAAGACCACGGAGTGATGACAAGCAAGTGCTCCTACTGGAAATGACAGCCCAATAAACCACAACAAATATGATGACGTGGCTGCCCTTTCGGATCTACAGCAAATCATCATTTTGTCTGTGACGAACCCGTCAATGCAACTCTAATCCATGAATTCCCAAACAAGTACGTGGGAAGGGGGAGATTGCTGAATATCAGAATCTGAATTTGCTGAAACTGAAAATGTCGTCGCCAGTCGAGTAATTCTCTCGCTTAATCTGATCTACACAATTTCTTGGTTTTTTCATGCATTGTATTTCTTCATTTATGTTTGTGTTTTTTTTTTTTTGGCATTTCCTTTCATAATAGTTTGTGTTGGTTGCTAAGAAAATTTGAAGAAAAGAAGAAAAATATGGTGATACTGATTCTGAATGTAACTTTGCCTCTGTAGGTTTTTTTTTTTAACTCTCTAAGATCAGGCTGCTGGAGGGTTTTGTTTTTAACTACATTTTCCTTGAATTCAAACAGAGTAAGCATAAATTAAAATAGAGTGCAGATAATGATGTGAAATTAAAGATGGAACCCAATTAGTTTTGGTTAGAGTGTAATCCTTGTTGCGTATTGAGATTGTTGAGATTACTTGTTGTTGGTATGGCTCTGGCTTGTATGATCTGATGATATTTTTGCCACAATTTGTTGGGTACTCATAAATTTCAGATACTACAAATCGCTGCCGCCCATCACAAAATGTTATGTTACTACTTGTGTGGTGGCCACTGCAGCTTTCCATTTGGGACTATACCATCCTGGACTTATTGCTTTAGTTTATGAATTGGTGTTCTCGGAGTTTCAGGTAATGTTGTTTAACCATCCAGGTGAAACCACTGCTGGGTCTTAATGAACATTGTGCCAACTCTAGTTCATTTTTGTTCTGATATTGATCATTTTGTTTTTTATATCTGATTCTTTCTGTAAATTAGATGAATGTAAACCCTTCATTTCTCATTTTATATGTTATATGGAACGCTTGACTGACTCTTATATATTTCCTCCTAGGTATGGCGACTTGTTACAAATTTCTTTTTCCTAGGAAAATTTTCCATGAATTTTGGTATCCGACTCCTGATGATGTAAGTACTAACAACAGAAGGTAGTCACATGACTCATGTTAAAATGTTGCATGTAGTCTTATCATGCTGTGAAATATATTGCCATATAGACCCCATTTTCTCTGATGGCTTCAACTGTTTTTTTGTTTTTTTTTTGGGCTGTAGAGCTAGATATGGGGTGCAGCTAGAGCAAGGGCCCTTTCAAAAGCGAACAGCAGATTTTCTGTGGATGATGATTTTTGGAGCTCTGTCATTGCTGGTTTGTCTTAGACATTCTTCTTTTCCAGTCCATGTTCTGCTTAGTCTTGTAGAGTCATTTCATCTGATGAATGGGTCATATTTTACACCGTGACATTATCTTTCTTGAGATGTTTAGGCTTTATCAGCTCTTCCAATCTTTAGGAGTCCATTTCTTGGGATTTCACTGGTGTTTATGCTTCTTTATGTTTGGAGTAGGGAGTCCCCGCATGCCCAAGTTAACATATATGGGCTTGTGGCACTCAAGGTACAAACATCATTTCTATTGCTTTGTCATGACTGTGCCTGAATATGGTCATGCCTCCTCTGTCTTAACGGTTATATTTGGGTCTTAGTCTTTTGATGCTTTCAATAAACAATACATTGCCACTGGAACACAGGCATTTTATCTCCCATGGGCAATGCTTGCTTTGGATGTTATTTTTGGTTCCCCTATAGTGCCAGACCTTTTGGGGATCGTTGCTGGACACCTGTACTACTTTTTGACCGTGCTACACCCTCTTGCTGGTGGAAGAAACATATTGACAACTCCAAAATGGGTGTATCCTTGTTTATCTTCTATGCTTGGTGTTTTATTTAGTTATCTCTTACTGGTAACAATATATCAATAATTATCAAAAGAGAAGCAAGAGTCCCACTTTCAAGTTCCAACATGACTTGATCCGAGTATTATTATGTCACAAAGCACTTAATTAATAGCACTCGTAGGCCTCAAAAGTTTATATAATCTGTCTGGCTGGGCCCTAAACTGAGTTCGATCTTATGCTTGTTTTTCTGGCTGAGAATGGTATGAATGCTGTGTTGCTAAGGTTTTATGCAGGATCATAATGATTGTCTTCCCATCATTTTTGAGGAATCATGGAAAGTTTTGCATGGTTTTGCTGAAAATGCTTAGTAATTACTGTGTGCTATGGTTAGCCTCCCTAATTCCTTTATTAGTTAGAATATCATTTCTCTTTCTCAAATCATGTCATCATGCTTATGGAAGTTTTTCAATTATTCAGCTGCATCTTATGTTGGATGTTCATGAACTTATCCTCATGCATTTTGTTTCCAAACCTTAACTTATGCTGTCCTGTTATGCAATCAGTCATAAACTTGTTGCATATTGGAAACTTGGATATCCAACAAGTTCTCATGTTCAACAGGATAGGGGATCTGGTGTTTTCAGAGGAAGGAGCTACCGTTTGAATTCATCCTCCAGTCAAGGCTTTTCTTTCAGAAGACTATGGTCATCCTAAAGGTTCCATTTCTATATCAGTTTTCTCACCTTCTCTTAGAGCGATAAAAACAATCTGTTAATAGAGGGCAAATAGGGTTTATTGATTGGAACTGGAAGACATACAAGGATTTAAGCTGATTAATTAAATTTCAATGGTTGTCATGGGATTTTATATTTAGTTCTGACATGTTCACAAATCGGTATTGATCAGAATAGAAGAACATGTTTATCTCAAGCCAGTCTGTGTTTGTTGGGTGTCGGCATAGAATATTAATTTGCTTCAACGATCTTCTCAGTGCAGCATTTGATTCTCAATTTTTCTCTTGGTTATCAATGAGGTATTTTCTTGTGGGAAGTTTGTTTTCCCTCTCACCAAAGAGGGCCTAAGTTCTTGATCAGAAAAAAAAAATGGGGAAAAAAAAAAGAAAAAAAAAGAAAGGCCTAAGTTGATTCTTCTGGATTTCCACACATTGCGCAAGATAATTTATGCATAAACATGGGATGCAATAGAGAAATTGAATTTGACCTGAATTCCAAAAAGATTTGAAGCATTAAACATGGCCGAAGAAATGTAGAGGAGGATTTGTTGTAACGTTAGAATATGTTTCATTGAGAGTAACCACTACTAAAATATGTTCAACCAATAATCACCAATCCATCACTTTCATATAAAAAATAAAATAAAATAATTATTATTATATCAATTAAAATATTAAAAAATAAACATTATATTATTTAATAATTAATTTTTTAAAATATTTTTAAATTCATAATATTATATATTTCAATTAATTTAATGAGATAATATAAATAAAGCTATTAATTTTAAATTTTTATTTTTTTATTATTACTTTTTTTTTTATTAAGAAAAGTGGTTTGAGAGGGAAATCGAACCTTTACCTGGTGAAGAAAACTTATATTAAATTATTAAGTCATTAGGTCGGTAGCCCTTCTTCATTTCTATCATTACTCTTAAAAATAACTAAAAATAACTTTAAAAAAATTTTTAAAATAACCTTTTTTACATCATTTTTTAACATAATTTTATATATAATTTAAATGATTAATATTTTTATTTATTTAAAATTTATAATATTAAATACATTTAAAGTTATGGCTTATTATGCTCTTAAAAACAGATACTAAAAAAAAAATTGATGATATTATTGTATATTTCTCATCCCATTAAAAAACAGTTAAATACTAATTTAATTCTTTTAATTTTAAAGTTTTATATAATTTGTCTTTTAATTTTTTTATACTTTTTTAATTCTTTAAATTTAAAAAATGTGAATATATTTTTATGGGTCAAGTGGCTTTAACTATTCTTATAAAGTTGATATTCCCCTCCCAAAGAGCAACAGTTTGAGTGGCTTCGTGACAAAATATTTAAAAAAAAATTAAAAAATGTATTTTTTTAGTTTTTTTGTCAATTAATCTATTAAATCTATTTAAATTTATATATTGTTAGTTACTCACTTTTAATATATATGCGTTTTTTGTTCTTCAACTTAAAGTTAAGGATTAAAAATACATAGATTTAAATAAACTGAATACATTAATTAATCAAAAAAATTAAAAAAAATATATATTTTTTATAATTAAGGGACTAAAAAAAATATTAAAAAAATTAAAAAATGAAAATGATGTAAAATCTTAAGTTAAAGCAACCAAAATTGACTTTCTTTCCCCCAAATTAGAAGTGGCACACACACAGGTCTGCTGAAATTGCAAGTGTCTTCTGTTTTTTCTTTGAAAAGTTTTTAGGCAATTCTCTGTATCTCACCGTGGAATCAAACTCCCGCGTGCGATCCCTGTACTTGCAGAGCTGAATTCAGACGACTGAATGGGTATTCTGTCGGCGACCGGAGGTAGCTCCGTGGAGAGAGCTAGGAATTCCGTCGTGATTGCTTCTCCTAATGAGGAGGCGAAGAGATTGAGGGCTGAAAAATCCTCCCAAGGTTTCCATCTCTCCTTTCGATTTCCTTATTCAAATCGTCTCTCATTTAACCTAAATTTCCTTTCAATTTCATTGACTGACCGATTTGTAATTTGCTTCTCGACGCTTTTTGAATATTTGATTCCTGTTTCTTTCGAACATTTTCTTACCTACCAAACTGTGGTTTTCTATTGCTGTTAATTGATAGATTTAGTTTCTGTATGATATCTGCAGAAGGAATTCGTGCTGGTTTTAAGGCAGCTGCCATTGGAGCTGTGGCCAGTGCTGTGCCCACTGTATGCCCTTTTTATTCATATTTGTGATGATTATTCGTTCATTTTGAGCTTACGATCAAATCAGATTTTTCATTTTTCATTCTTCTTCATAATTCATCATAACTGCTTTACCATCTTCTTTTAATCATATTGAATTCTTTGTTTATTTTAAAATGAAAATTGGACTGGTTTGTTGGGAATAATCACTTCATTTCTTCGTAGACATGGGACTATGGTAGAAAGGCTAAATTTGTGTGTTTGGAAGTCTTTTGTTTGGGGTTTGGACTGTACAGGCAATTGCAAGAGTAATAATATGTGCAAAAGACCTCATGTTAATAGAGTTGTTGTGGATACTTTCCGTTGCATCTTTGTGGACTTGGATATAGGTGAAAGGAATAATTTACACAGGAGGGGGTCGTGTTAATAGAGTTCTCTCTCAGTCTCAGAGCAGGATCATGGCATTTGGTGATGTTATGATTTGCCCCTTAGATATTGGCTATAACTTGCAAGTGGAGCCTGTGCTCTGATGCAAGTTCGTCTTATTGACTGAGTCAGTAAACTTTCAGAAATTTAAACTCTTTGATAAACAGATAAAGCACTTGAAATAATTGGGCTGGATCATATTTATTACTCTTCTTTACGTCCAATGATATTTTTTGAACTCAGTGTGTGAAAGAGGTGCTAAGAAATCTGTTCACAGAGTTCCATCATCTGGCATGTTAATATTGTCTGTTTAAACAAGGCAAGATGGGCTGATTGCTTCTCCTTCCCATCCCTCCTTTGCATTTTCAGTTGATTGCAGTTCGTAAGATTCCTTGGGCAAAGGCAAACCTCAACTATACTGCTCAAGCACTTATCATAAGTGGAGGTATTTTTTTATTTAATATAATTTCTTAGTCTTATATTATCTGATATTCATATATATATATATATATATATTTGATCGTGTAGAAATAAGAGGAATGCAACAATAACATTTTTTTGGAATATAAAAAATTTGTCAAAATAATGGAGTAAAAATGTTTTGCTTTAAATAATGAGTTTGTGAGAATGACATTTCATCTTCGTATCATGGAGTAATAAAATTCTGATAATGGAACTGTATCTATGTGTGATACCAAGAAGACGAACTTCCAATGAACTTGATATGTTTTACAGTTATTTCTTTTCTGTATGAAAATGCCACTTGCATGATTTCAAAAAGAGGCATTATCCTCTCTTTCTTGCACGGAGGAAGTGCCAAAGTTATAAAATTATAACATCTAGCTTCTTTACTGGTTAACAGCATCAATTGCTTCATTCTTCATCACCGTTGATAAAGCCATCTTGACAAGTGCAAGGAAACAAAGTCAGGCCGAGTATGAGAAAAGAGCCTGAATTCCAGATCGGTGCAACTTCAAGCCGCCATGCTTTAACAGTTGATTAATGCTATTGCATGACACGGTGTTGTGCAATTTCTCGAGCCTCTGAATGAGTTGATTCCTTTTTTGAACAAGGGAAGGTTTCCCTTTGTATAAGTTGAAGTAGACATGTTATAAAGGGTGGTTATTGCCATTCTTGTGTTCTTCAATAAGAACTCTATCTGACCATATTTTATCAGTCTAGCGGATGTTTCCCATTTCCTTTTTTGGTTTTAAAAACATAGTGATTAATGTTGTTGATGCGCTTTTAAGGAGCTGCTTTTGCCTCTTGGTATGTCTTATGTACAAACAGGAGACTGAATACAGGCAGAAGGATACCATAAAAGGAAAACACTGGCGGAGGGCTTTTAGACATCTATTGCTTATGAGATTTTATGTGAAGAGAAAGCGATAATTATTCAGTTTTTCTTGATGGAAGGTCTGTGACTTTAGTTTTCTGGTCTACTTTTGGTTCTCAGGCTTAGGAACTATAAAGCCAGCAAATCCTTTAGGGACGTCATACCTTCAGCTTGATGAATTACTAGAATAACATTTTTTAGCCACGGTTTACGTTAAATCAAGTCTAAATTTAGAATGCCAGTCACGGATGTGGCCTGTTGACCTGGAAATCCTTGGGGTTTAGGGTATCCAGGCTGGAGAAAAAGGAGTATGTTTCTTCTTTTTCCCTGTTAAAAAAAGTAATGCGATTGTAGTAGATGCAGGTAAGGGAGCACATTTTTAAGCTCGAAGACAAATTAATAGAGATGTCCTTTGTATTTATTTATTTTTAAAGATGATCACCGTACAAATTAGATAGAAAACCACCTGTGATTCTCACTATGGTTACAAATGTCCAGCTCCCTATCAGTTCAACTGGCTCCCTTGGCTCAGTCTGTAAAGGGTCGAGAAATACTAAATAAAGAAGAATAACATCTTGTATTAATGAAAAAAATAATGATAATTCCGTATACAAAAGTATGAAAAACTTCATAATTTTTTTTTGCAACAATTAGGCCATCTAAAATAACCAAATAAGCAAAAAATAAAATTATTTGCTGTTGGGAGGCATTTATCTCCTCTCGTGTCAGCTCACATGATTATTCTCTGAAGTAGGCAATAAAAAGCGGGTAAAATTGGAACTGCATCCAACATCATTTATGTTGTGCCGAGGCAACCAAAATTTTCATACCTGGTCCTAAATCCTAGAATGCATATCGATAAATGGCATCAGCAACACCATCTTCATCGTTGCTAAGACCAATTACACCTGCCACAGCTTTTGCTTTCTCTGACCCATTACTGAGAGCAACACCAAGAGATGCCAACTCAAGCATATCTACATCGTTTTCCCCATCACCAATAGCCATCACCTGTTTTGAGATAGGGGGAAATTTGTCATCAGAATCGAATATAGTTGTCTTTGTCTAAATCATATAATTATGGTACCAGAGAAAGACCTACAAACCAATTAAACAAGGACCGAAAAAGTTTAAAAAATTTTACATTGGCAGTAAATAACAGATTGCATGATATGTTCCATCTCTCCTCAGATGAGACCAAGTCTCATATGCATGATTTTTTATTGGAGAAACTAAAACAGCATGAAACACTAACTGAGAGTGGAGGCCTGATTCATTCCACTCCCTTCATTTGGGTATCAATGGCTTTTAAAAGGCTGGTCAATGATTGCAGAGAGATTTACAGCAAACTGTCTGTCGCAAGATAGCACACATGCAATGACTTTTGTATTCTATATGTTATTTTGGACTTCATCACCATACTCTCATCTAAAGCTTGTATTCCATGAAAGTTTCATCCCCCTCTAATTCCATTGACTTCTACCCAATGCTGCTGAAGCTATGTAGCCCTGTATGCACATAACCTATCCTACCCAAGACCAGAAAACTTTTCACTTCTTGCACAAAATAGTGTCTGAAAAGCAACTTCTGGTAACATCCTCAACAAATAGTAATTTTTTGGTCAAACGACGAAATAGAATATGGGAGACGGTTTAAAATAGGTTTAACAGAAACATATTTGACATGAGAGTGATTAAAAGGGAAAAATCAATTCCAGAGCCTTTTGTCATTATGATGATCTTTTTTGTCATGAGGAAAGAGAGATTAAGAAGTAGATTGTATATACCTCCTCTGCACTGACACCCAAATGATCAAGCAACATTCTCACTCCCCTCCCCTTAGAGGTCTGTGGAGGAACAATCTCAAGAATGTCAGCTACAGCCTGGGTAACATTGGCACGATCTCCTAATGCCTCAGCCCAATAGGGACGTAAAGTCCTTGCAACGCCCTCAACAGTATCCAGAAAAAGCAACTTCTGCAGACCCAGAGATGTACATAGCAGTTAGAACAATAAGCTGTCTGAGTACCAGAAGAGTTAGTTGGTTCAGTTCTCTACTGGAAACTGGGTGGGTGGGAAAGACAGCCATTGTCATCAATTGCATCTCAAATGAAATCTTCAAACCACCATCTACCCCAGAAATTATGATTTTAATGTTGACATAAATATACATAAGTTATGAACAAGAGATTATATTTCCATCCATACCTGCACGTCAACCTCAGCCAGAAGATGGTCAACTGATGGCATGATCTCTGCCTGTAATAAATTTTTTTATGTAAATCATATGAATGCATGAAATATTTTATTGTGCAACAACCAAAGATATTATAATGGAACAAGTAAATTAAGGTATATGTCACCTTTGACTCATGATATAATGTATGGAGAGTATCAACAAGAGGATGATCAAATAAGGTCAAGCAACGATCCTCACAGAATGCGACAAGAGGAACATTGTTCTTACAAGAGTAAAGAAATGCCTGCAATTCTAAATATGAGTCTTTTTTCCCAAGCAGATATATAATTCATCATTCAGTAAATTAAGAAAAAGGAAAAAGAACTTTTCATGTCTCCTTAAGAAAAACTTTCCCAATCTTGTGTCAAAAAGCATCAACCCAAAGCATATGTAACAAACTAACAGCAAACATATTCACTTGAAAATGTTTCTTATTTCTTAGAAAGACTCATATCATGCTGTATTTTCAACAATTTGAAAACTAAAGGCTAAATGATCTTAAAAGTTTCTGATAAAGATCTGGCACAAAAGGAATGGAACTGAGGCTACAAAATAGCCCCATCTTTTAACTTGCATGGATGGTAGGCCCACAGCTTAAACAAATTAGCATACCCCTTAAATTAAGATACAGTTACTTAGCAGCAGAAGCCAGTTCTGAAACCAAACAGGACAGCTGTTCACAACTGATATCAAATTATAATCAAACAAAAAGGCAGACAAATGGGCCACAAATAAAAGGCAAGCAGTCACAAAAAAAAAAATGAAGAAGATCACCCCCCCCCCCCAAAATAGATAGGGAAGAAAACAGTTCCATGAAATGATAGCATTATACACAGTTCTAACGGGAGTCCAATAAGAATTATCATGTATCCAAGGAAAAGACAGACTACCTCTCTGCAGATATCTGCATCTAAATTCCTTCTAAAAATTTCACGGCCCTCTCTACCATAAACAAGCAATCCCTGTGCTCGAGCAAAAAATAGAAAAGATAAATTTCAACATAAGGAAATGAATAAACAGCTAGAGAATTAACACATAAAGATTTGCAAGATGATAAAGATTATGCAGGATTGATCTTAGCATTACGTTTCCCATTCCATGAGCAGAGACGCAGAGACACAGAGACTTTATCCTTGAAGGAGCATGTCAACTAGTAGAAAAATAAAAGCTCAAACTATAAGCTTCATTTGAAATTCTTTGGGTAAATACATATCTCTAGCATAATAAACAGCCAAGAAGAAGCAGTTCCAGCTTTCCTTTATTATCTCTTTTTTATTCAAGCTTATAACTGAGCCATTTTCCAGTACTGAACAAAAATGAAACTGGAAAGAGTTAAATTAGTATTATGCATCGTTATAATGTTATAGGGAGGGCCAAATTTGAAGACACTACAGCAGCCTGCATTACAGGAAGGATAGTACAGTTATAACAAATGGTCAAATGTTGTAAAGAAAACAGAAATACAAATATGCATGGTCATCGTTCAGGTTGAAGAACACTTGTTTAGTCTATAAAAACTCAATGAATGTAAATCAGAGATGTCTTCTATCAGAAACAGACTGGAAGAATACTAATGGCTCTCTGGTCTAATTTTTGTCAAACCTGATTCTGAATGGAAAATCTGGCACGTCCCCAGAAAGAGCATAAAACTTACTTTCAAACATGCATGCAGGATTAAGTTGAAAGTTTAAACAGATGAAACATGCTAATGGCTGATGCTGGAAGGAAAGGAGAAAGAAAAAACCTGTAAAAACACTCCAGGAGAGTACTCTGAAAGAATTCCTTCTCTACCCAGTAAGCCAACTGCATCTAGAGCCTCCATTGCAGCAGGACGGGCCTGTTCTCAAATATCAAAGCAATAACTGGCAATCAAGACTTTTTATCAATCAAGCAAGAAAACCTATTAGGAGAGGGAAGGGGGGGGGGGGGGGGGTTGGTGGTAACAAAAAGAAATGATGCAGCAACATTTTACATAAGAACAATGACTAACAATGAAATCAAGGGAAATAAGATCAAAAGTGCATTTGAACTGCCAAAACAAGGCATGATATCATTATCCAGCACCAGGAGACTGTCTGGATAGTGAATGAAATTAAATTATTTCCGCCATTATTCTTACCTTTCCAGTGGCTGCAACAACTTTAATGCCCCTTGATAATGCCTCCCTCAAAGCCATGGCATTTCCTTGGCTAATTTGACTTTTGCTGTTCAGCATTGTACCTTGCATTAAAGAGCAAAACTATTAGTGGCTCATTCTAAAACTAAGGGAAAATTACACAGTAAGCGTAATCTCACCATCCATATCACAGAAGATATATCTGAATTTTGGTTTATAGAATCGGAGACTGCCTTCTTTCTTCCTATCTTTAGCACATTATATGTAAGATTATCTCAGTCAAAACTGATACACAGCATTGTGCAGCTCACAAATGACTAAAGAATATATGCATTTGATAAGATCTGTAGGTTAAGAAGGTCCTGAAGGTAAAAAGATGGATGGTGATATTACCAACTGAATTCTCTGTATGAAGATCTGCATCACATGCACTCCGGATTAATCCTTTTCCCTTCCATCCAAGGCTCTTCAAAAGCAATTCCTCAGCCTCCTCCATTTCTTCTTCAGCTTCTTCACTAATCTCATGATCAAAACCCAACAGATGTAGCAATCCATGAACCTGCACCATTGGGGAAGCAAGTAAAGCTGGAATCAATGTTGGATGGTATTTCCAATGCAAGAATATTTTTTGAATCTAAATGAAGCAGAAAGAATTATTTATGGTCAATGCTTCCTTCTTCAGTTTCATTGCTAGGCACTTTTTGAAATATGTCAGGTCTAAGAGGTTAGTGGTAGAAGCTCCCTATCTACCTAACAGCCAGCCCAAAAAGGGAGATTTGGAGAAACAAGCAAATAGGGGTAAAAATCTACAAGCTAAAACATTTGAGGGTGCAGCATTGCCTCCACAGGTCAACCTACAAAATTGTGTTTTCAAGCATATGTTGTACATGCTGCCAAAGATTTTTTTTTTTTTTTTTCCCTTGCTTATTCTGGTATGAAATCAACTACAGACAGCGCTATCTAAACACTGTGACCCTGACAAAATTACAGCACAAAGATGTCAATTACTAAACAAAGTATTGTTATGCTGACCATAAGGATGCGTATTTCATCAAGAAGTGTGTGTCCTCTTTCTTCTGCTTGCCTTGCAGCTGTCTCAACAGAAACTACAATGTCACCCAACATAAGCTGCAACAGAAGAAACTCTGTCAATTGGTGTTACTTAGGCACTTCAATCAAGACAAACTCAGTATACTGCGGTTCTTACAATGGGAATGTTGAGTCCAGGGATATGCTGTGACATTGAGAGGACATCAGTAGCATGGTCTTCATCTCTCCATTCTTTATTAAGTTTCTGAATAAACTCATCGTTGCAAAGGAGTATGGATAACTCCACACTTTCAAAACCACCAAGATCTTGTATAGCAGTATCTCTAGTTTCATAATTTGAATCATTTAACCCATCAAAAGCTGACTTCATTGCCATTGGCACATTAAGACGAAGCAACTCAGAAATACTCTGCAGAGCATACCAAAAAAGGGGGGAAAATGAAAGAGTTAAGCCATTAACATTAAAGGAATCATATATACCCAGTACACAAATTTTCAAAAAGCAACAGGTTCATCTGAATCCAGGAAAGGGCAATGCATATAACAGTGATGAAGGATTTCTAAGCAGTTCCTTCATGACATGCTTTCAGAATGGTTCTTTGCCGCACTTTCAGCTTTGGAGAAGTAAAATTAATAACAAAAACAAAGCATCAATTTTAAGCAAATCATTTCCTCAATCTAGAACACAACAATAGCTCATTTTTCATGTCAAAATGGAGTTTGAAGTTCAAAACCTGATAACAACCTTCCAACAGCAGAAACTTGAAAAATAAATTCATTTACTCTCCCAGCTAATAGATTATTAACGGTTGTTTCTTCACAGGAATTTGGAAGTTAAAGGAAGAAAGCAAGTACAAGCAACACTCAAGCATAGCATTTTCTCCCTAGTCAAACAGAACTTAAAGTAAATACAATATAATGTAGTTATATCAATGCAATATTGTGCGCATGATTATGGATAGAGCGAAATATACCAACACTTCAGGATCATCAGGCAAGTCGTCTTCAATTCCAATACTGACGCTGAGTTCCAATTCCTTCTCTTTACTCCTCACCGGCCGCCTCCTCGCCTTCCGATACTCTCTCTTCGAAGCCAAAACCGTTCCTACTCTTCTCAACAGCTTCCCGTCCTCTCGGCACAGGGCATGAAATCTCCGACCGCATAACGAAGACACCGAGAGCCGATTCGTACAGCGTAAGGATACCAGATCGGCAGCCAAACGGAATGAGACGGTATCCGCAGACAGATTAACGGGGAAAGATGCGGCGGCGCGTGCAACAAGACGAGCCATTGGAGAAGAGGAAGATTGGGGGAGGGAACGGAGAAGCGGAGAGGCTCGAGCGAGCATTACGATTGTGGCCGTGGCGTAAACGAATGTGAGTAGTTTCGATCCAATACGAGAAATTCCAAGGAAATGTGAGGTCTCGGCCGAAATTATGCTTGTATTTAAATACGTATATTCTTTTTTTGGGAGGAACAAAGGTTAGAACAAATTCTCCGTTATATTTACACTTGTTTTTATTGCAATTATACTTATG